TGCTCTGCACTCACTCGAGTGATTTAGGAATGTTCAAGTTGTTTTATGTCCTTGCCAACATTTTCAATGATTAGTCTCTTTTAATTTAGCCATCCTACTGAACGTGAAAAGACAAATCATAGTGCAATGAATCTGCGTCTCTCCCTGCCACCGAATGATGTGTAGCATCTTTACAGATGGCCACTGTCCATTCGTATATATTTTGTTAACTGTCTGAGTCCCTTACCTACTTTTCACATCTTTTCTCCTTTCGTATTGATTCGTAAAAGCTCTTTATATATTCGGGACATAAGTCTTTTGGTGGATCTGTGTGTTAACCCAACCCATGCTTCGTCTTATAGTGACTCTGGGAGCAAGAAAGGCCTGGGTGAACCACTCTGTACATGCCACTACCAGTTTCTCTACCTATGTCACCCATACTCGTGGTGCCCACGTGAGGCTCATAAAGTACAGATGCATGCAAACTATAGTCATGAATGGTGACTTCAAAAGTCATCTGGGGAGAACTCTGGCAAAATTCATATCTCAGAACTCCTCTTGGATGTCACAAAAAAGAAGAATAAGACATAATACACAAGCTTAACTGGAATCTGTTGCTAGACAGCAGCCTGAGACTGCTGCTCTATGCCTCCCTATGACTCTGGTTGGTATCTGGCTTAAACAACAAATTCCTATTTGTTATTTTCACTCAAATACTGCACTATTGTAATTACATAGCTTATATCAAGTGTTAATATCAAATATTTTCAATCTACCAATTGTTCTTTTTCATGATTGTTTTAGCTATTCTCAATTATTTCATTTCCATATAAATTTTGACCATTTCTATTAAAAGTGTTGGCTTTGATTGATTCCATAAGATTTCCAATTCATTAATATGGTAAGTCTACTCATTTTGAGCGTCTTTAGTTTCACTCAGCAAAGTCTTATAGTGTACAGAGGTCTCATCTGCCTTTGTTACCTCTATCTGCAAGCTTTAAAAAAATATTGAGTCTATAATATGTAGAATTTTTTAAATTTAACTTTAAAATTGTTTGCTGTTAACATATGAAAACACAATTTATTATAGTACTGACCTTGTAGCCTAAGAAATTGCTAAATTCATTCATAAATTATTGTAGGTTTTTATTATTGGTTTGGTTTTTTATTAGATGTCTTGGTAGGACTTTCTATATGGACCATTGGTGACTAGCTTCATTGCTACATCTTTCTTTAAAATCTATGTGATTTCCTTTTCCTTTTACTGCACTGGCTACATCTTCTATTACAATGTTGGACATATGGGAGTTGGGGTCAGACAAACTGCATTTGTTTCCCAATTCTTAAATGTAAATATTCTCATCTTGTGCTTTTAAATCTACCTATGTTTTTAGATTTAAACTGTATCTCTTGGGCCGGGGATTTAGCTCAGTGGTTTCGCTGCCTGCTGCGCAAGCGCAAGGACCCGAGTTTGATCGCCAGTACCAAAAAAAGAAAAAAAACTATCTCTTGTAGAAACTCTATTTTTAGATTTTGTTTTTTACTCATTGTGACAATTACTTTTCACCCAAATATTTAATCCATTTATATGTAATGTAACTGTTCATGTTTAGTTTCAACCATACATTTTTGTGCTTATTTTCTTTTTTTGTCACCTGTTTCTTCACTGTTCTTCTCTTCCTGCCTCTTCTGAGGTAATGCACTTTTAAACATATTCCTCTTTAATCTTATCAGAGTTATAGATCTATCTCTGCATTATCTTTAATGTTAGCTCAAGGGATTGCAATATAAATCCTTAACTCACAATAGTCTACCTAGTACTGTTATACCACAGCATGAATACGAAAGAAACTTGAAGCATTAGAATGTTTCCCCCAATCTGATCCTCAGCTATTCTTGTATAGAAGCTATGCATACCTCCACAATACACATAGTTGGTTTTGCTTTCTAGTTATATGCCAAGAAGAAAATAATAGCTTAGGCTTCATTTCCTACTTCATCATCTTCTTTCTTCCTCCCAGTTGCGTGTTTTGTGCATTCTGAAATTCCTTTACCATTTCTTGTGGTGCAGATCTGCTAACAATACATTTTCTCAAATCTCATACACCCAGAAATATCTTAATTGTAGCCCCATTTTCATAAATGCTTTAAAGTATTAGTGTTGAGTTGACATGTTTTAAGCCCATTAAAAGTGCAGCCATGAGCTTCTAGCCTCCATCATTTATAATGAGAAGTAAATCATAATCATATTGTTTAATAATACATGTCTTTTCTCTAGATGCAATTAAGGATTTTTTTCTTTACTATTGATAGCAATATGCCACATGTGCCCGCATATGGTCTCCTTTGTATTTATTCTCTATAGGGTTTTGTGGATATTTTTGAACAAATTTGTGAAAGTTTTGACCAAACTGATAGCAGCTGCTTGGGTTCTGCTTCACAGGACTGGAAGTAAAGAGGTAATTGTTGCTGCCCGGACTGCTTCCCTCCTGAGACTGCTTACACTGACACAATTCACAGGACTCTGGGCCTTTGTATCCCCGATCCTTCTTCTCTCTGTTTTGCATTTGATAATGTCCACGTGTCTGTCTCACAATGCATCACCTCTCTCTTCATCTCTCTCTGATCTATAGTGGAGCCCATCTAGTGAATTCTTTATTTCATAGATAGTGGATTTTATAGTTCTCCATTTGATTTGTTTTGTTGATTATACTTCTCCAGTTGAACTTCTCTGTCGATCATGACCTTCTTTCTCTGTAGACCCTTCAGATATTTAAAACGGCAACATTAAAGTCCAATTCCATCCTGTCTTCCTATTCCAGATTTTCGCTCATTATTGAACCTGTTTCTATATTCTGCTTGTTTTGTTTATTCTCTTGACAACCGACCATATATACGTCTTCGTGAGTCTTGTCATTGGGTTATAGACTGACCATTCTAGAGAAACATTTTAGAATTTTAGAACTGAGTTTTCTTTCCTTCTTGTAAAGAACATTGACTTTTATCTAAGCAGACAGTGGGATTACTGGCATGTCTCTTTGATTTTTTTTTTTTTTTTTTGGTACCGGGGATCGAACTTGGGACCTTGCGCTTGCGAGGCAGCTGGCAGAACCACTGAGCTAAATCCCTGGCCCATCTCTTTAAATATAGATGCTTAGTTTACTTTACCAGGACCTTCTAATTTGAAGGAAGTCAAAATGCCAAACTTTTTCTTATCTGCAGCACTTAGCTGCTACAGTGCCTCCTAATCCCTTGTGCTTTCCAGCTGTTTTCTGCTGGGCTCCACTAAAAGCATTCTGCTGGTTCAGCCAAGAATTTGAGGGCATTATATGCAGATTTGAGGGCTCCATTCATTCCAAACTTTTTCACTTCAATTTTCAGGCTCTCACACATTTCTAAACTCTGCCCAATGATACCTCAAGCTAAGAAAAATACACCTTTCTACTTTGATGTCTAACCTCCCTGCAGGCCACCTGGGCCCAGATGCCATAAACCCTAAAAGACAGCTCCTCGTAAATGTAGACTGCACTCACAGTGCCCAAAGCCCTTCATTTGATTGATGTCTGCTTGTTTCCTCCATATTTTTAGATTGTGTGTGTGTGTGTGTGTGCGCCTGTGATTTTGTTCAGAGTTGTTCATTGTCATCTCCAGGTGTGTCACTGTGACAAGCTGGTCTTCACTGTAGGCCAGCAATTTTCTTTCAGTGTTATTCATTTCATGACAACCAACTAGTAAAACAAGTCCATAGTGCTGCCTCCTCACCTGTCCAACATCTAGTAACCCTTACATTTTCATGAAAGCTTGCAGTGGGGGAAAGGAAGAGGCCCCGGTGGAGAGTGCACTATGGCTTTCAGAATAGGGAGATGCACAGATGTAGTGGGGAGGCAGGGTATCGTTTGTTCTGCTGGCTTGTTTTTCAAACAAGAGTATTTGGACATTCATGTGTTCAGATACCTTTCCTGTCAGGTTAACCTAATCAAACACGTGGACTAAGAAGGTGGACGCGCACTCAGGGCGTCGTAAGCCGAGCTGAATCACGGTCCTGCAAGTGAAGACACCGAACATGGGGCTCTGCTGTTCAGGAAGCAGTGCTAGTCCTGAACATCAGTGGAGTCCACTCTGCCATAGAACTCCGTTATCTCTTTCTCTTTCCGGCACCCACTGTTACCATGGAGGTGGGGCAGAGGCGGCAGCAGGACAGAGGGGTAAGAAAAGCCAGCTCAGCGCTTGGGAAGGGTCTCTAGGCTTTGACCCATGGGGTCTGACCATTACCTGTGAGCCATCTTCCCATGGCACATGTGGGGCAGAAAGCAGAATGGGGCCACTTATCATCTGTATCTGTTCAAGATGAAGGAGCGGTTTCCAGCATGAACACCTAGTGACTTTCGGTGGCAATAAAGGACACAAGTGAGGGCGTGATCGGAGGTCTGAGCTGAAACGGAGAGAGCATCGCACATGGTGCAGATCACAGGCATGCGCGTGACACCCTTCAGACCTGCATTTGAGTCCTGCTCCGTTCTCCTCTGGGCTCATGTTTGCAGAGAGCTGCTGCCTCTTCCTTACCTCACTGGGGCATCCGGGACAAGGAGGGTAGTGCTGAGTCCAGCCACAGTCCCCGGGGACTTGATTCACAGATAAACGCTGAGCCACTCTCAAAACGTGTCATTTTCAATCCCACTCTGGCCATTTCAGACTTTCCTTTCTCTATTCCAATGTCCCTTTGTTTCATCCCCTCCAACATCAGTCCTTTTTCTCCCCTGAATTAAATACTTCCAGTGTTTTCTGATCTGTCTTAAACTTTTCCATTGGCCTGGCCCCCTTCACCCCGAAGGCTGTCCTCAGAAAGGGGTCAGGGCAGCTGAAACCCCTCCCTTCAGCAGCTGTCCCCCATCCCTGCAGTAGCCAGACACTCCGCAGGCCCTTTAGCAGCCCTGTGCCCAAGCATCCTGTATTCCTACTTCGCTGAAGGCAAGATCAAAAATGGCACTAAAAATACAAATGAAGGAAAATAAACACAAAAGTGTCTTTCGAAGGCTCAGAAAACCTGTTCAGACAAGCAGGTACTTTAATTAGAAATGCTACAAGACAGGAGGAGCAGCAAAATATGATTCCTGAAAACATTATAGGATATGCTGACCCGCAGGCAGGAACACACAAACCTGGCGCCTGCCTGTCCACAGGACCTCGATGGCCTTCCTGGCTCCTTCCCACAAGTGTCAGCCTTTGAGGACCCTGCACCAAAGCTGGGCTTGCCCGAGGAAGGAGCAGGCACGGGCTTTTCAGCTGGAGAGGTGACTTAGTTGTGTGGCTCTCATCTAGTGGCAAAGAATGGTCTTCTGTCCCTGATGACACTTCTTGGGATTTCTGTAGGTTGCATTTGCTCAAAATCTTCCAGGCCTGCAATAAATAATTTGAAATGCTTGAAGTACTGTTATGGAAAATGTGAAATGGGGTTTGTTTTCCCCAGGAGAAAAAGAAAGGCCAGGGGTGTTGTCCACATGACCAAGAAAAGCTTTTCCTGCAGCCAGGCTTTGGTCGGTTCGATGCTGTGTGGGTCACTGGAGGTTGTTTCTGGGAATCACAGCTGAGCACATGGAGACGCAGTCCTGCCTGTGACATTGGCGTAGAGCTCGTTAGTGAGCTTCCCCAAGCAGGCCCTCCTCGGATCAACCATGGGGCAGTCGAAGGCAAAACACCTTCCTGGCATACACAGGCATCTTTAATTTTAATTATATACTGCACAGTTTTCATCTAAGCAATCACATTAAAAAAGGCAAGGGGCCATTCTGTACGTAGGACCGAAAACATTGAGAACAGTGAAATGATTACTTTCATCAAAAGGAAAACAATTTTCTACGGGGTAAGCACTCTGCAGGAATAGATCCCGATCCCACGGGTATGAGGTTCTTCTCAGTGCTTCCGGACAGGGTCTAAGCGGATTCCCTGAGACAATCAAAACAAGCACAAAGCCTTCTCAACAAATACTCTTACTTTGCCATACAAAGACATTAAAAGTGGGAATTTTGCGAAGTTCTCATTCATCTGTTAGTATGGTAAAAAAAAATAATAATAATGAGTCAAGCTTTTTAAAATTGTTTACTGACAGTGTAGGAAGTAAAAGATATTCAGATAGGCCCAGTGGGATAGAAGACAAGGAAGACACGACCTTAAGGGATTTACCAACATTCTATCAGTTTCAAAGTATACTCCATGTTCAAGGATGAGAATTTGTCATGCAGGCCAGTACGCTTCTAAGTGTGTTCCTGGCTCCAGATACAATTCCTTCTCATTCCGCCAGTCAACAATGTAGCTCGAGTAATCTTAACTCAGCAGAAGCAATGACACCTCTTAAATGCATATTTAAAATTAAAGTTTATTAAAAGCCTATCAGGTTACATCGTGTCTTTGACTCATACTGAATTAATTTTCCTGTTTCCTGCAATTCTAACCTATAGTTCAAATTCGTGAGATTTTCACAGGTATTTTCACTCTGTCTTCAGTTTAAGTTTATGTGAAACCATATTTCCCGTCTTAAGACTCCACACTCATCAGAGCCCTTGGGATCTATCCATCGATGTGATGGAGAAAACAGCAACCACAACCTTGGGCTCTGGAGTTGGAAAGTCTTTATCCCAACTCCGGTGCCAGGTGTGGGGACGTGGGCCTGGGCCTGTCAGTGTGGCGGCCTGTGACCCCCCAGACGCGAGACTCTGAAGCCACTGTGAGCACGAAATGCAAGGCCTGGGTCCAGGTGACTTTACAGTGGTCGGAGGTAGTGTAGATCAGGCAGCGTCGTGTTCTCAGCAGAGACAGCTGCCTGAATCAGAAAGACACATGGAGGCTCTCCCTCAGGTGTGGGGTCTGAAAAGATGTCCAGAAAGGAAGGGGCCCACTATTAACAAGAGGAGGGGAACCAGGAGGGATACACGGGTGCGTTGAGGGGGTGTGAGTGCGATCAAACTCTGCTATGGAATTGAAACCCCCAAGCTGTGAAACTGGAGGGAGGGGCTGGCAGGTGGTGGCGAGAAAGGCTTAAAGTGTCTTACGCGCACCTATGGACCTGCAAACTGAAACCACTAAGCTGCACAACCAGTGTGCACTGAAAAACTGGGGAAGATTAGAGAGTTGCCAGAGCTCTAAATTTAGACAAAAAATAGATACCAATCATTAAATCATAGGCCTCATTTTCCTCAAAAATAACAAAGGAAGGGATTTTTAACTCTGTACGTTTATTTTATTAGCACTTAGCTCTTCCTCTAGAAGGAAAAAGCAAACTGAACTATGAAAAATTGAAAGTTCCAGTTAACTCAGCCCTGGTTGATCTAGACTTTATTATTTCTAAACCATTTCATGACAACCCTTACTGGTATAACTTCATTAGAGCTGCTCCATATGGTGCTTTCTGTTCTGCAAGCTGAGCTGACCCTAAAAGTGGAACCCTTTGCACTCAGCTCTGAGTGAAGATGACATTTTAGTCTCCTGTTTGTGAGCTGGGGCCTTTTCCTATATTTTTATGTTTTAAAATCCAATTTGAGCTTTTTTGGCCTCATGTCCTCATCTCAGACACCATTTTTTAAAAAATGAGTGAAAGGAAGCTTTTCCCATAGAAAATCTCACACATAATGATGCCAACAGGCTTTCATTTTGCTGGCTGCTTGGCTGACTAGTATATTGGAAATAAGTGAAGATAGGAAAATAACAAGGAACTAGCTTTAGCTGAGGGGAACGAATTCTACAGTTATGAAGCTGTAAGGAAAAGCACAACGAAATATGATCTTAGCATCACAGAAGAAAGCAATTCTCACCAGTAAAGCAGAAGTGAAGAACTGGAAATCTTAAGAAACACACACCAGGGGCAGTGAGAACAGACGTTACGTGCTTCACCTCGCAAGGTGAACTGGAGGGTAGGGAGTCTGTCGAGGACTTTCCAGACGAGTTCTGATGCGTTTTATTTGCTTTGCCTTTTTTTCTAAGCGACGATCCCTTCTGTATAGGCCTGCGCCTTTATGTCATAGCAACAGGGAAAGGGACTGAAGGCATCGTTAATTAGGTGCCATGCATAGCTGTGCTGTGAGGGACCATTGCTTACTGGCTCAGATGGGGACTCACGACTGAAGTATTTACATGGCAGGCTCTCAGACGCCAACCCAGAGTGGTGATGGGAACTAGCTAAAGCTTTGAAATGAAGCAAATGCTTTTCAAGTTCCTGCGGGAGGACTAGAAATTAATTAATGGACTGCAACAAGGAGCAATTATTTCTCTTTGTACATTCTACACCTGTTTTTCCTTATTGTTATGTGTGTGGTTTTCAAGAACTAAAGAGATAATGGAGACTTTACATGGATTCCTCCCATAGGCACAAAAAGTCCATAGCAGTGATACACCGGTTGCAGACTTTTGCTTAGACAGTATCTGTTTGAAAGACACTGAAAGCGTTCTTCAATGTCACCCTGACCCAAGGAACTCCAACAACGTCTCTGGAGCTGAGAAGGGATCGAGGATCAGCTTTCTTTCACTGATGAGCAAATGGAGCAGGGCTGGTTCTGTGATTTAGCTAAGGTCAAATGTCAGAAGGCAAACAGTCTCAAGAGCAGAGCCTTTCATGTCTCGACTGACAGGCACTGCAGAGGGCTGTCCCTCTGGGCACCGCGCCGTGTGAGACACTGACAGGGCACCAGGGACTGAGGCATGCAGGACCTCAGCACAGTCTCCACCACAGGACCTCTTCTTCCCACATGCGGAATTAGAGTACCTGTTACATAGCATCATCTGCAAGGCCTAATTAAAATTTGGCTGCTTTCAGGGGAAACCCTTAAGTGTGCATGGCTCGGCTGTGCCTCTGCCCAGTCCTGCAGTGGCTTCGCTCCATCGTATCGGTACAGACAGCCCTCCCGCCTCGGGCACAGGTTTCCAGTCACCAGGTCAGCTGTGGCCCGATACAAACTATCACACTGAAGATTCCAACAATAAATAACTCAGGTTTTGCCATCCATTCTGAGTAGAGTGATAAAATCTTACGGTGCCTGCCCCAGCCTGTCCGCAGTGTGAATGTTCCTTTGTCTGCCATGTGGAGCCCTTCGCTGGTCGCCTGGAAGCAGCCCGGGGGATCAGGTCGGCTGGCACAGTGCTGGGTGCTTGTGTCCAAGTGTCCTATACTGTACTTAACAGTTGCCCCAAAGGCCAAGAGTGGAGATGCTGGCAGTTCTGATTTGCCAAAAAGAAGCTACAGAGTGTGGGTGAAGTATAACACAATATATACACAGAGAGAGAGAGAGAGAGAGAGAGAGAGAGAGAGAGAGAGGCCATATTCACAGAACTTCTACTAACAGCATGTTAGTAGAAAACTTTGTTTCAGTTGTATTGGTTAATATCTTACTGTGCTCAGTTTATAAAGTAACATAATCACAGATCCATGTGCATATCAAAAAGCACACAGTAAGTGCTATCCCAGGCTCCAGGACCTACCAGGGGTCTTGGAGCTGTTCCCTGCAGGGCAAGGGCCACTTGCTTGGGTCTGAAGCAGAGGAAAGGAAGGTGTTTAAAGTGAGTGTATGAAAGGAACTGCAGCCTCCTGGCAAGCAGTCCACATGCATCAGTCCTTTCCCTTTGCAGATCCTGTGCTCCAAACTCCCTTTCAAAGGAATCATTTGTGCTTCTGACATTAATGGTAAGAAAGGCGCAAGCCTTTATGAATGAAGAAAATAGCTATGAGGATTTTGTCTGTAGAGCACTGTGGCTATTAGAGATTTTCAATTAACCTTTGTGCCTGCTTGGCCAATACTTTAATGGTCAGACTCGTGCTCCACACTAGGTTACAGTGTGCAAGATACAGTAAAGATTTAACTAATACTGGAAGGCAATTTTGGAAGAAAAAAAAGAAACAAAGTTAAAGAAATCATACTATTATTCACTTGTATAGAAACCACGATCAAAATAGGAAAAGATCTCTGCACTTGACAGGTAAATACTTACCGTTACTCAATGCAGCATTAAGTATCATTAAAGCATCAGCATAACATCATCCCTGAGTTCTATGTTAATCTAAGTAAAGGTAGAACATTGGGCTTCAGTTTTGCATAAATCACATAATGGGAACATAATTCTTGCCCTTATAGAACTGACAACCTTGCTGTATGCATTGGAAGGCACAAATCTGCACAATACACACATCAGTGACACTAGCAAAGGTGTAAAATACAGTCTTCCTTATTCTCAGGCTCAGCTTTCTGTGTTGCGAGTTTACTGGTCACTGCATTCATGCATAAAAGAGAGACAAATGGCTCTGTGCTTCTGTAAGTGACGAGCTCTCAGATCAACTTCCTGTGTCTTGGGTGAAGATGAAGTCAAAAAGGCTGCAAAGGCACCGGCCTTCGACTTGTGATCACTGGGGCGTTTGCTGGGGCGCTGGGCCCATCAGCTTTTACTCCCACAAAACCATCAAAGGAGGATAAAATCTTCTCCCGTGCTAGACTTCTACCTTCATTTATTTTGCAGATAACCTATCTTATTTCTTTAAACTTTCAGTTTCAGGGCCGGGGATTTAGCTCAGTGGTTTCGCCGCCTGCTGCGCAAGCACAAGAACCCGAGATCGATCCCCGGTACGAAAAAAAAAAAACCTTCCAGTTTCAGTACTAAATCAAGAGGCTTAGTAATAACATCGTAACAATAGCTGTTGATACACAGAATTCAAACATTCCTGGGCAGAAAGTTAAAGGAGGGGGGAGAATACAAAGCAGGAACTGCTGTAACTAAGTCAAGTCCTTTTCAGAAGCAGAAGATCCAGCAAGGAGGGCAGATACTCAGCAAGCTTCAGGACAGGAGATGGCCCAAGGAGCAGAACTGCAGTTTCTTTCCAGAAGTGGAAGAAGGCCATTTCAGACGCGAGAGAGGGGTGTGCTCACCCTTGGCACTTAACTTAGCGTGGCCCCTGGTGTCCCGTGGAAAGAAGCAGGCAGGCAGGAGGCGGGAGGACTGCGTCTGACAGGACACGGCAGGGTGGGGCCGGACCCCACGCTGCCTCTGCCTTTGTGGACCACGGCTCCCTTCCCAGTGAAGTGCTCACCAGAGCCAGGGCGTTAGGTGCGGGATCGCGGGGCATCCGTGGCTTTCGTGTTACCCACTGATTTCTGCTCCTCCGTCCTCTCACTGGACCCTCCCTTTTCTTCCACATACCCCAAAACTTTGCAACAACCGACCCTGTGTTCCTTGGTTCTCCCTTCTGTTCGTCTATGCTCATTCCGAGAATCTTACCTGTCTCGGGGTTGTACTCACCGTCCATAAGATAACGACTCGGATTTCTAGCTTGAATTCCCACCTTGCTGTTGGCCTATTCAACAGCTCCCTTGGGCTACGAACGGCATCTTAAGGTTGATTTGCCCAGCACCAGACGTCCAATCTTCATTCCCCCGCCAAAATCTATTTGCTTCTGCCTGCAGTATTCCTTGCCACAGGTGATAGAAATTTCCAGGTGCAGCTCAAGCCACAAACCTTGCGATTGCCTTTGACTCCAGTTTTTCCTACACTTGTCACTTTTTAGGAAATTTTTGCTGTCTCTTCTTTGGAAATCTGTCTAGTGTCAGGCCTTCTTCCGTACCAGCAGTGTTCACATGATTCTGCACTGTCGGCTCCTTGCGTCAGGTCCCGGACTCTGTTTGCAGCTGCGTCACCCTCTACAGAGAATCTGCATTATCTTGTAGATACACAGATAGTCTTTTTAGTTTTGCTTCTCATTTGAAAAAAAGTATCTTATTAATAAAATATGTATTCTTCCAAATGAGTCATTTGGCCAAATCTCATATGACTTTCTCTCTGCTTTGATAATTTATCCTGTGGCATGGATGCTTCACAGACTCTCCTTTAGATAGAAGAAGAACCAGCTGGAAACAATTTCTGGAAGTAAAAACAAAACATAGGGTGGATGTCTCCCGCATATATTCGGCCTGATTTGCTCACAGCAGGTTAAGTGGAGGCAGCTGCTGGAGGCCTCTTCTTTACCAGAGAGAAGTTTGGCTATTTTAGAAATGTGGAGTTCATGGCAGCCATAAGCCATTGCCTTTCTATACCCCTTCCCCTTGCCAGTTCCCTTACATCAAGATTTCCTTCAAAAGGGAAACAGGACAGCCTGCAGTTCTCTTCAGGTAACATTGTCACTGGACTCCGTGGTGGCATCAGGGTTCCTTCCTCCCCACACGATGACCCAACTGCCTTGAATGAACTGTCCCAGGTTTGTGATTAGTGTGAGGCAGAGAAGAATGGTAACAAGGGTTCTTAGAAATTCTGGACAGGTTATCATTTGAAACAGTACAAATAATAACCTAATAAATCAACAATCTTAGATGTCAAAAACTGATGTTTTTGTCTTAGCTGTCGTTACTGTAGAACTGACCTAAGATAGGGCTGGGCTTGGCTCAGTGGCACTCCACCTGCTGTGCAAGTGCAAGGTTCTGAGTTCGATCCCCAATACCGGGAGGAAAAAAAGAGAAATGACGTAAGATAATCAACTTACGAAGAGACCGGGTTTGTCTTGACTCGAGATTTGGGAGGATTTCACTCGGGGGAGGTCAGCCCTGAAGCTGCTGGGCCTGAGGCAAGGCCAGGGCTCCAGACACAGGGGCCCCGCTCAGGAGCGGAAGGGAGAGAGACAGCAGAGACCAGGTTCCCTTGGCCGCTGAGGGCACCGCGGCCCCAGACCCACAGCGTCCTCCTCCCCGACTCCGACTCCGGGAGCGCAGGGCCAGGAGGCGCCTTCCTCGCAGGCACCTGGACCTAACTCCTGGTCTGAGCGTCCGTTCTGTAAGACCTGTCCGTGAAGGCCTCTCCCTGCTTCCTTCTCCCAGATTTTCAGGCTTCATTCTGGGCAAAGGGTAAGAGGAAATCAAAGTCGGGTGCTGTCCGTGGGCGGACGGCCTCTCCCGCACTAGGCAGAGAGAGAGCACAAGCATGGCACTTGCGGGGCTGAGGTTCGGTCCCAGAAGGGGCGGAGACAGCTGCCCGCACACACTGCTTCCTGGGAGTCACCATCACGGCGCCGTTCACGTTTTAAGCCCAGCAAGAGCACAGTGACTGGCGAAAACCCACCTTGGCTTTCTCCCTGTACGCTCTCAGCTGAGAAGCAACGGTCACCACCTGTAGCCTGCCCCGTGCGGAACACGGGCGGCAATAAAACGTCTCGCAAAATGATCTGCTTCTGTGCCTGCTCCTCAGCTACCTCGGTGCTGTAGAGTCCAGCAGCCTTGGTTCACCAGGGGGTGCCGCTAGCCGAGGTACCTCCTCTTCCTGCCGTGCCCAGAGACCTCAGCCTGCGGCCTGGGACAGGCCCTCTAACAGAAGCCGGCAGGCCTAGGGTATTCCTTTGTCTAAGGGGTCGCTCACTTGAAGGAAACAGTGCTGACTGTCGCTGTCCCCGCAGGCTGCAGACCCGAGGGCGGGGGCAGGGGTGGGCTGGAAAGCTCGGGCTCGGAGCCGGGCCCTTGGGGGTGAAGGCGAACCCGACCTCTGCTCTCACCAGGCCCCGAAACCTCGATTGTGCTCTGCTGTTTCTGACTGTGAGCCCTGACTCTGGTTAGCCTGGAAATGGCAAATCTAGAACAAGCCACTGGCTCTGTGCTTCTGCCAAAATTAGCCGTAGAACTTTTATGAGAACAAAATCCCTATAAAAATCACAATAGAAATGATTATTATATCATTTATATAAAGCATGTAACGTCTCATAAACTATGTTCGGTGGCCCAGTCACTGAGTGCACTAAATTAGGCTTCCATCCCCCAATCCCACGAGGCTCAGGGCCGCCTGTAATAAAGTAGCCTCCGGCCATGTGGGCTGTGGACTCTTAAAATGAGCCTAGGTTCACTTTCATCTGATGTAATTTTGATCAATTCAGACTTAATTTGAAAGACTAATATTATTTTGGATATTGGAAATTGTGAACTGCTTCTGGAACAACGTAAGTACGTGAATCTATCTTTTCTGCTGTATGCTTTGTGAAATCTAAATGCAGATCAAATATTTCCA